CCAAGTCAAGTGATTCTGCAGCAAAATTTAAATAAAAAGTGGGTGTTACAGCAAGCCTAGCTGTAGTAAAACGTATTGTAAGAAGGGCCAAGGCTTTAACAATATTAAACAATTAATAAAAGCTACTCCAATTGCCACTCATAAAGAAAAAACCTCTTCAGTTTGCACGTGAACACATGGTTATAAAAAGCAATATCAACATCTTGTTTATTCGGATGAAGAAAAGTTTAATTTAGAAGGACCAGATCATTATTTTTTATGATTTTTGAAAGGAAGACCTCTACGTAAGTCGTCTGCATAGCTGTGGATGATGTTGGATATAGTGGAGGGCAATTTCATATTATAAAACATGTGAGCTTCAATTTCTTTTATCGAGTAAGAATTGTAATGCCATAATGGAAACAGCTTATTTCACGCTTATTTCACATTTTCGGATATCTTTGAACCCATGACGTGGAAATTTGAAAAATATAATGTCCCGATCCTTACCTCTAGGGATGTAAAAGGATGGATTCAAAGATAGAATGTAAAAATTTTGGAGTGGCCTCCATAATCTTCTCACCAATTTTTGATTGAAAACGTTTCGGATATTCTTTCTCCTAAAGTGTATAGGTCGGGCAGACAGTATTGAAGGAATTAAAACAGCTTGGACCGAAACTTCCTTACCTTTACTTAAGAATCTTTATAACTCTTTATCACCTCGAATTTTGGAAGTTATATGAACTAACGGTGGATATGTTCCTTATTAAATCTTTTCTAAAACCTTGTTTATAAAAGTAAAAAAGTTTCATGAAAAATGCATTTTGTTGTTGTTTGTTGATTTAAATGATCCAAAAAAACATTGTTCAAAAACGAAGTGTTTTAGAAAATAAATTATTAAAAATCAGTTATTAGGTATTGTGCTAATTTTTGTCTTACTTGTGATACCTAAGACATCATGTTATTATTTAAAATTTTAATGTTACTAATTAGTCCATTAGTTTTTGAAAAAAATGAATTTGAATGTAAACAAAACAGTGAACCTATTTAAGTGAGCGGGACTGTATAAATTCCCTTGAAATTTCGATCTATATGGAATGTATAGTTTGTTTCGAGACAATTGATCACATTAGTTTTCCATCAAAAATTAATTTTTATAAAGAAAACACAAAATCTGTTAAACATTTTTGAATTAATGCTGTCCAAACTTAATGTTTTTTTTTTTTTTGGAATTGTCAAAATCAATGTTAATCTGGGAAAATTGGATCACTACGAACTGGAATGTCTGATATATGTATACATATGTGTACGACTATTAATACTCCTAGAATATACTACATCTATATAATAAAACAAGAATATATAGTCGGGCATCAGTGGTGCCAGGAGCCTATTCTCATAAATTTTGGTAGAGCGATTTACTTTTACATTAATGTGTTTACAGTATATTATTGACCTTCAAGTCATTATCTGACTGAAGCCTGATCATTTCGAAAAGCGGATGTATCATTTAGACTTATAAATAACTAAGTTGTGTCGAATTTTGAAGATACTACGTAGAACATTTAACATAATTGTGAGCTTAAAAGCCCAATTTGGGGAATTTTATCTTGCAAATTGCTCTCAATAGTATAGGCACAAGTTTTTTTTATGGGCACACAGACAGACGGAAAAAGCTTAATCGGTGAAAAAGTAAGTGTCGTTGCTACAAACATCAGCATAAACGCATAATACCCTCCCCATTATATTGTTATGTAGGGTATAAAAAGGCGTATCAAACAATCACATTGATATGTTTATTATAGAAGATATTGTTCTTGGTAAAGTTTGCGTTTCGATATTTTTATTTACCCGAAGAAGCAAAGAATGGAAATAAATCTACTTTTGATCAGAATGGAGTTATATCACAGCTGTAAAAATTGTTTAGTGTTGGCCTTTTCTTTCAAATCGAAATACAAAGAAACTCCTGCTGTACATTAATAAAATAGTTACCATAAGAAATATTTAGAATTTTAGAAGAATTTGACAATTATTCAGCTTCATACACAAAAAACTCCCGCTTTAGTTATAATGTAAAACAACAAAGCGAAAGCGGATCTCATATTCACTTAAAATTTTCTCTTGTTTGTTTTATTTCCACATTTAGAAAAGCTAAAAATTAAACCAGTTATTTTAAATTAATATATTAGAAAAAAAACCATGTGTTTCACAGGATCGTGTTCTTATTATGTTGAATATTACGATGACGAAACAAAAAAGAAAAGGACTGTGGTGGCAGCATCTTAAACTATACAAGTTTATTTCTTCTGCTTTTTCTTCTCTGCCTCTTCTTCCTTTTCCTTCTCAATCACAGCTACATACTGTTCTATAGTTTGGACATCTAACATTTTCAATGGTTTGTCCTTTTCCATAACGGCGATTTCTAAATTCTTTTGGCCCGACTGCGCCACTTCTAACAAAGCTTTAATGGCCAATTTGACGGCACCATTTTCTGTTTCAACTTCTTCATCTTTGTAGTGTTTCTCGAGGAATTCACGCACTGTTTTTGCTGAACGGCCAGTGGCGTTAGCTTTCCATTCATAGTAAATACCTGAGGGTTCAGTTTGATACAAATGAGGAGTACCATCAAAATCAAAACCTCCTATTAAGCAGGAAATACCAAATGGACGACGACCATTGCTTTGTGTGTACTTTTGTTTCAATTGGGCAATGTATCTGCGATGGACAAAATATTACTTAAGACTCAATTTTGCAGAATAAAGCTAACTTACCTGGTAATGTATTCCAAAGTAACTGGATCTTCTACATTTAACTTATGACTTTGACACTCCACTTGAGCTCTATTAATCAAAATGCGAGCATCAGCGGTGAGACCAGCAAATGCCATAACAACATGATTGTCCAGCAAACAAATCTTACGCACTGTACGTTCTTCTTGCAATTTCGCTACCGATTTCTTTTCTACACCTAAAACCACACAATTGACTCCACGTACACCAACCTTAAGGGAATAAACAAAAAATTTTATATTGGAGATTTTCTTTAGCACCATTAAAACGAGGTTAAGTTTTTTTCCATCTTACCGCTGTTGATCCTTTTCGCACAGCTTCCTGAGCATATTCCACTTGCAATAAATGACCATCGGGAGAGAAGATGGTAACAGCGCGATCGTAACGTGACATAGTTTTTTATTAAAAATATGTAAAATAATTAAATATTTCCAAACTCTTGTTGAAATTTGCTGCCGCTAAACAAAACACCGACGATTATTTGCAAAAAACTCAAAAAACTGTTTGTCAGCTTCAGTGTTGCTAAAATGCGTAGTATTTTTACTACATTTTCATAGTTGTTTGTATGGGAAGTAAACTCTATTACAAACAATGGTGTGTGAAGTACAAATCATTTGTAATTATTTAAAAAAATATTACAAAATTGCATAATAAAACAATAATAAGGTAGAATCAGTAGAAAAGTACGTTCTCAATTTTACATGCCTTGAATTGTCACAAAAAAGAAAATTAAAAAATATAAAAAAAACATCAAATAAAAATTATTGAAAAATTTTTTGTGAAAAAAATAAAATTGGATAATTTGAATAAAAAAGATCGCAAAACCAATAAAAATCATAAACAGGATACAGAAGAGTGGAATGCTGTTTGCGTGTGCCGTTCAATAAACATTTCAAGGCATTTTTCGTGGTTTTTCATTTGAAGATTTTGAAGTTTTTCTCTTTTTAGTTCTTTTTTGTTTGACTTAACAATAATCTGTTATTTGATGGAATTCGAACGATTTGAAAGGTGATGATTGTGAAAACCAAATTATTTAAATGCGTGTTTTTGTGATGCGTCGTATAGGCCTATGGACAATATATTTATATGTTTCAGAATAATTTAAGAATTTTGGCATAGATTTGTTAGATCATAATATTGCATATTTTACCCATTATAGCATAATTTTGCATGATTTGGCTTATGTAGCATATTTAAGGCATATTTTCAAGTTTTTAGAGCATATTTTACTTTTTTAGTGCATATTATGTTTTTTGATTTATTTTTTCATATTTCTAAATTTTTAAAAACATTTTTTCATTCAAAACTTTATTCCTAAAATTAAAAAACTTTTTTAAAATTTGATTGCCTATTTTACAATTTTAAAAAACATGATATAGTTCTTTATATCATGCTTAAATCTTTATTTTAAAGTTGGACTTTTATATGAAATACCGAAATTTATAAATAAAGGTATAGTTATGCGTCCTAAATATGGAAAAACCGGTATTTTTTCATTTTCATGACGCGTTATATGGAAACCTTATGTGATGCATAAATTCTGAGCCCAGATTCGGATTCAGCGCTGCTAAATCATTTGTATAAATAATATACTTTGGTCTCTGGGTTAAAACATTTAAAATTGTTTTCTTGAAACGAAAATAACCGACAAAACGCCTTTATCAAATCTGTTCAAATCAATTTTTTTTTATTTTATTTGAAACTCTAATTACAGTTAAAAACAAATTTCGACTTTATTTCTCATCTTCATGACGCGTTATGTGATGCATAAAGTCTGGGGCTAGAATCGGATTCAGCGCTGCTAATAAATCATTTGTATAAAAAGTATACTTGTCTCTGAGTTAAAACATATGTTGGCCTGTGTTATTATTCCCGATTGAACTGCAAAATTATTTTCGTGAAACGAAAATAACCGACTAAATGCTTTTTTCAAATCTATTCATATTAAAATTATTTTTTATTTTATTTGAAACTTTAATTGCAGTTAAAAACAAATTTCAAATTTATTGTTTATCCTACTTCTCCATATTAACACAAAAACAGTCCGGTAACTCCTCTTTTAACATTTCAAAATAGAAATATATAACCTTCTCCCTCTAACTTGTTAACCAATTGCTTTTTCTTATTTTCACCTTTTTAAACAGTTTATCTCTTTCATTCCTACGTTCTCCACTCTGCCAACAAACTGTCAGTAAAAATTTGAAATTTCTTTTTGTTGTTGTTAGTTAGTTTTCTTTTGTGCGTCTACTTTATCGTTTCATTTTAATTTTTCTTCTACTGTTTCTCTGTCGTCGATTATTTTGACAACTAGTGTTTGTGTGTGTCTGTCTACCAAAAAAAACAGAAAAAAGTAACACGGGAGAAAGGATTTTTTGTTTTTATTTAACTAGAAAAGAAATTTTTATAAAAATTTTATTTTTAAAATAGAAAAAAAAAGTTAAAAGTGTTAAATAATTGCAAATATTTATAAGAAAGTTAAAAAAGTAAATTTGGGGCTTGAATGTTACGAAAAAAAATCAAACCGAAAAAAGCAAAAAAATAGAGTGAATCGTTGAATGTCTTGTGCTGTTGGGCCGTGTTTGTTTGTTGGTGTCTTGCAGTCATCAGCATTAACGTTGTAGTTAGACGACGTCGTCCAATTTGAAAATAGAAAAGTTTGCTAAAGGCCCCATGAAGTGGCAAGAAGAAATTAAATACACAAAATCGAAAAGAAATAAATAAAATTAAATTTGAGGTGTAAAAATAACAGCAAGACAATACAACAGCAACAAAAACATCAGTGAAGTGTAATAAAAATCCCCAATCAATTGCTCCACTCCGCTTCGACAAAAGTGTAGAAATTCTTGAGCTAATTTGGTTCGTACAACGAAACCAAAAAATATCTAAATGTGGCATTATAAATAAAGAAATAAATACAAAAAACAAGAAGAAAAAAATCCAATAGCTAAAAGCGGAAATTCTAAAAAAGTAACAAGCCAGCAATTGATTTGTATTGGAAGAAATTGAATAAAGAAAGAAAAAAAAAATAAATTAAAAATCTCAATTTCAAATCAAAACAAGCAAAAGAGCAAAGTAAAGTAAATTAAAGAATAGAATAGAGTAGTAAATCCAAGTGGTTAAGTAAGTAAGTGAGTGAGTGTATTGTGAGTGAATGACTAAGTAGTGGCCTAAAAGATCAGTTAATGGTAAAAAAGCAAATAGAAAAAAATAAAACAATAAAAATAAACACAAACAAAACAAAAAAATTATACATATTATTATAAAAGTGGTAGTAGGAAGACATCATCCATCACTTTGTACATTGATCCACTGTTTGCTGAAAAAAAAAACTAAACTAAATTCAACGAACCCCAAAACAACAACAACAACAACTATACAACAGCAGCAGTAGCAAAAATTAAAAAAGTGGCTAAAATAAAGTGATGGCATTAGCGCGTAAATTAACCGAAAGAATATGTAAGTTGCAGCTCCGGCTGCTGTTTTTTTGATTTTTTATTTAGCACTCATTAATGTGTAAAAGATTTATTGCCTAGTTTGTGCAACAACAACTGCATTATAGATAAAAACATACATACATACATACAAAAATACATATAGAATATGCTAAACAATTGCAAGGTTATGCAAATCATTTGATTTTTTAGTTTTGCTTTTGCATTTTTTTATGTGATTCTTTGGTTGTCAGTTTTTATTTTATTTTGTGCGTTTTCAGTTTTTCTTTTCTCCCATGTGTATTGGCTTTTTTGTTTGTTGTTGTTTTACTAATGGTGTCACCCTGCCGGGTTGACGTTTTCTTTTCGTAACGGTAAAATTTTTATTTGGGGGATATTTGTATTTTTTTTAGATTCTCTTTGTTTTGGTATTTTATTTTGTGATTCCTTTTGGTGTTTTATTTCTATTATTTTTCGTAGATATAAGCTTACCTACCGGCTTTTGTTTAGGGAATATGTTTTTGTTTTCCTTTGTTAATAACTTAAAGGATACTTATTAGTTTAATTTTGTGTGAAAGAAGTTGGGAATATTAATTTACAGGAAGTGTAATATGGTCAGAAAGGGGAGTGTACGGCGACATTAAATTGAAGAAAAGTTGCCTTTTTAATTATCCTATGCTAACTAAATTAAATGTAAAAAATAATGTATAATCGGGCATGGCCGACCATATGATGCCGTACAAAAGTGAGTATGTGTAGAGGCATTATGTTTACAATAAAGTTATTTATTCTGAATTTTATCGTGATAGGTACCTACCTACTAGAGTTCGAATCTGTCAGAATCGATCGATCACATCTGTTCTAGTTTAAAAAACGCCATATTCGTCCCTTTTTGACACGTTAGAACTGCTCGAAGAGAATTTTTATTTATAAAATGTGGTATTCTATCTGAAACTCCATTTTTACAACTTTAAAATAAAGGCTTAAAACATTTGGCATATTGCGTTTCTTTTTCGAAATATCTTCACTAAAAACTTGATATAACAATAAATTGACGAAAACTATAATTTTTCGTTATATAAGCTTATAAGCCTTATTCGGCAGGAACGGTTGTTTGTGGGCAAGGTGAGATAATGGACCGCTTTCAACCATTTCCAGTAGGCATCGTTCTCGAGTCAAGAAAAGAGTTCATCAAATTATCTTGAAAATTTCGGACTGTGGTGTATATGATTCATCGAATTAAGCGATTATATATAATCCGAATGATATTGGCCAGTTATTGTTATAGTATATTGATTTAGCGGTCATAGTTTCTGATGAAGCTGTCCGGTGTGTTTGATAGTTTTATAGTTAAAACCACCCATGATACAGTAGTTTATCTTATTTGTTATTGGAAGCATGAAAGTGGGGCTACAACTAACATGTTGATTTCCCTTCCTAAAGACGAACAACTGTGTTGTCTCTCCTATTCTAGTATTTTGTGAGGAATTGGCTTGTTATATAGAAATCAGAAAGGGTTTCAATAAGAGTATTTTCCTTTTATATCTAATATCGACTCACTGTATTCTTATGATTTAATAATAGTACATTGATCATTTTGACTGATAGCTACATAACCAATTTCTGAAGAGTGAAATTTAGACGCCATCACCTGCTTCTTTTGTAGAGAGATTACATATCATTGTACAAATCGCAATTTGTAATGGGCGAATGTGGTTGATTTTATGATCTTAAGGCCTTAAATTGAAATATATCAAAGGCTTTGAAGTTTGGTTATTAAGAGATTAGAGAGATGGGAATTAATACTTACATATGTTTGGTTAAAGAACGAGTATAGAATGTTCTTTTCTTTTGCTATTTCTTAACTTCCAAGTAATTTAAAAGATACTTCCAATATCGTATTTTTCAAATGACTATGTTTCGATCAAATCTGTTTGAATTAACAAAAACAATTTAGTTGTTTGATTAACTTATTTTGGATGTTCTTCTTTATATGTGTTGATTAATGTTTCATATTTTTTCAATTAATAATAAAATCAGCTTAATGTTCCTTAAGTACAATCAGAACAAAGAAGCCGGAAAATTTATGAATATGAAATAAAGAAATTTATAAAATTAAGCTTAAAAATGTGTATCCATATCATTAAAAGTAAAAATTATACTTATTTTTCATTCAGCTTTTATTTTGTTGATTATAGAAATTATTTAATTTAAAAAGATTTACATAATAAGTAAAGAAATTGCAAAAAATATACATTATCAACGATTATACAATATTTATGAAATATTTTAAATGAAACGCTGTTGCTTGTAAATATCAATACAAAGTCCATGTATTGCAAAAAAGAACAGATCAAATAGCAGTTACTAACTATTCTAAGGAAGAACAGAGGTAGATAAAATTGTCTACCGATAAATGCCGAATCGCAATTTTCGAGATAATTTGATAAAATTTAGCAAATAGGACGAAGCCTATTGAAAATGTTTGAAATCGGTCATTTTGCCCTATTCGTACCTCCGAATAGGGCTCTTGAGCTCATAATTATGTTAAATATTCTTGTATCTCCCCTTCAGAAAATAGCCTGAAAATCAATAATTCACTTATCACGATCGAATTTTGCATAAATAATTTTTATGTCAACAACTGTCAAAATATTTCAGAATCAAGGTAGAAATATGTTTTTTTACTTATTGTTTTCCACAAATTCGATTATTTATTAAATTTTACTAAAATTTCTATGTTTCAGTAAAATCCAATTTAAAATAAAAGTCCGATTTTTCGTTAAAAATTTGATTTTGGCAAAGAACTTGATTTCTCACTAAATATCCGATTTTTTCTATTTTTCAAAAAAAGATAATAAATATTATTTTTATTAAAATACGATTTTTCGTTTTCACTTTCCTTAAAAACAACTAAAGAGTTAAAAATTCATATTTATTCTTTTTTCATTTCAGATGAGATAAAAGCGCATAATGGCAATGTTACTTGTCTGGATGTTGGTGAAACGGGTCGTGTTTTAGTTACGGGTGGTCAAGATCGTAATGTTAATTTATGGGCCATAGGACAAACAGAATGTTTTATGGTAAGTTAACGTTTTTTTTTTATTGTTACTGTTTAACAACAGAATATTAATAAGTTGATTATTTATATTTCTTTTACTTTTAGTCACTAACCGGTCACAATCGACCCATAGATTGTGTACGTTTTGCATACAATGATGATTTTGTATATTCTGCCGATGATATAGGCATTATAAGACGTTGGGATTTAAATGCCCAAACAATATGTTCCACATTAAATGGTCATATGAAAAGTGTGCGAACATTGGATTTTAATCCATCCGGAGAGTATGTAGTTTCGGGCAGTAATGATACAACAGTAAGGTGAGTTTATGAAGAAAATTTAATAGAAAATATTTAAATAAATATAAAATTACAAAAATAAAAAGATATAATGAGATAAATTTCGAGATAAATTTCCAAATCAAATACTATTTGTTTGCTTTGCAATACAATTTCGTCATCACTTAGATTCTAGTTGGGCTAGGTTTTTTATATAAATATTGAATAATATGATTTTTTTCTCTTTTTTCTCTTTAAATAAAAATATATAAAAATCGAATGATCTTAAAACATCATTTTCAATACCATTCAATATTTTTTTCATGTGAATGTAGGAAATAAATACAACAGACTCATATTTATTATTATTAAAACCACTTATATTAAAAACCAAACACTTGTTGTTGTGGTTTTTAATTCAATCGTGTAGGCTGCTGATAGATAAAATACAATAATTTTTCTTATTTAATAAGTAATTTTTCTATTATACATACGTATGCATTATATTATTTAGCTAGCCTCTTCTTAAATTACTTTCAATTTCTGTATTCAGCAAATAAAATAGATTACGAAAATAAAACCAACAAAATCAAAACACGCACAAACTCACCAAAAACCTCTAAAATGATACAGATGTATTATGTAAAAAAAATATAAATCATATAAAATAAATATTTCTTCAATAGTTTCGTTTATTTTTCATTATCAACTCTTTGGATGGTAACGCAAGAAAAACCACAACAAATAAACAATAAAAATATTTATACAAAATATATTTGAAATTCAATTTGAAAAGCTTAATTTAAAAACGTTTTGAAAGAAATGCTTATCAATAGTTAAACAAAAAATTATAATTTATGTTTTGTGATCATTATCATTGTCAGCAGGCATCATGATCAACAGCGGCTGAGAGTTATTCTTTTGTGTGATAAGTAATGATTTATTTTAGCTTTGAGTTCCAAACACAAATGCCAACTTAATTCAATTGAAAATTTATTTCAATTACAATTTATGAGAGGTCAAATCTATGTACCACCCAGCTAAACAAGCACTCTTAGAAAAAGTTTTTCTATTCGCTTTTAAAATGGAATTATATTTGTTTGAAATTGTTTTTTTTTTTTCTCTTTTAATTATACATATTTACATACTATGACAGGGATTAGTTCATACCAAAAAACTTTGTATTAAAAAAGTGTTTTACAAACAAAAAAGATTTTACTTCTCACCTTCATGCGACACTATATATTCTGGATTCTTATATACATATAACAGGGTCGACTATGTTATGTTCGTCTGTTCAACTGTCTGTCTGTATGTTTGTTCAAATCAAGATCACAGATATATTTAGGGTTCAAATATTCATTATTACAGCGAAATTGGTCCATAAATAATGGATATACTATATATGCAATATTTCAAAACAACTACTAAAAATATTTTCATTGTTATATGTTCTTGTGTTGGCTGAAAACAGAAACAACATACATATAGCTACCTAAACCACAAACGGACCTACATAACATTTTTAAAATTTTACAGGAGAAGCAAAAAACTATTCAAATTAAAAAGTTTGTTTCTATTAACACGTTTTATTTGTAGTAAATAAACAAATTGTTTAATAGTGAAACCTATCATTTGTTATGATAGTTGACAATGGCGTATATAAAAATGAATAAATTGGACTATTTAACTTTAATATTTAAATGGTTTTGTAGATAGGGCCTTTTTTGTTTTGTCAATAAAATCGCTAATTTTGGTCGGAGGATTCCGTTTGTTTTAATGCATTACATTAGAATCAACTATAAAATAGATATTGAATTTTTGGTTAGTTAGAGCCAAAAGGCAACAAAAAAAACAATTGTTGTAGTTTTCAATATAAAGTAAGAATGAAATGTTGGTTCGCATTTAGAGGAACAGGCAGTAAGTGTTATGTGTTATTGTACCCGGTCATCCCAAAGGTATTTGGCGCATCAGTGGTATGATTATCCATGTGTCCAATACGTGTCTAATAATGTCCGCTTAAAATCCGTACATCTCGTGATTCAGAATGTTTTGAAAACCATTACCTTGTTGTATAGGGCCATAATCTTCTCTCGAACACTGTCAGTACGACGTACGAAAGAAAAGATAAAAGAACATTTTTTTTCGATGTTTTGCGCTTACAAACAGATACTTCGTCTTGTCCTTTTTCACCTTGAGTCCCATGATCTTTGACTGATTTTCGAGTATGGAAAGGACTTTACTAAATGTTCGTGTGATCCATATTCTCGTCATAATGCCAAGTCGTAAGATCTTCGATCCTCGGAAATTGTTACTTTAATTCCTGCTAAAAGCTTGGAAAAGTAATTCTTTCACAGCCGAGGTGTACCATGTTCGTAAGTGACTAGATTGTCACTATTATTTTTGCTATAGGAAGAGGAATATTTCACCTCGAATCCCAAGATTTTTGACTGATTTTCGAGTATTGCGATATTGTGACCGAAAAACATGAAACTTTTGTAGTAAATAGTATTACTGATCCTTATTCTCGTTATAATTCCAAGTCATACGATTTTCGATCTTCGCAAAATGTGTGATCCTTCCAGAGCCGAGATGTATCCTGTTGTTCTGTTACTAGATTGCCAATATTATTTCTACAGCATAGAAATTCCTCAGTTGCTTTAATTGAATATTCCAAAACGACCAGCAATTAGACTTAAAAGGATTCAAAAATCAATCGAAATTGATCAGAAGATGTGCTCATAGGGTATCATCATTTTATGCAGACAAAAGTATCATCTATGATCATAAAATGGACACAATTCATGAGCGGATGAGTCATAAATGACTCGAATGCGATAAAGTAAAAAAAATTTGATCTGTATAGGATTTAAGAAAAAGACTCATATATAATTGCTCCTAACTTTGTTGTATGCTGCATTTTGGGTCAGGGATAGCCGCTCTATTGTGTTTCGAATACCAGCTTCCCTATATAAAACTTTCTTTTGTAAACCATATACTTTATGATGTTATGCTCATGGACGTTGTGACACTTTGAAATCGCCATAGCGACATGAGAATAGACATTATGAAACTCTACCCAAATAATTTGCAAAAAAATACTCTTTAGAACGAAAGATTCGAATGTTTTTGAATTAATGAAATTAATTCGTTAAAAAAAACTTGTGTATACAATTTGTAAAAAAGTGATTAATTTCATTACATTGTATGACTTATTACTTGTTCAATTGTTTGTGGATTCCTACATAATATTGTTTATAAATTCACATAATAATTTAACAAAAGTACATTTTGTTTTTATTTTTTATTTTTGATATATAAAACAATAAATCTTAAATATTTTTATTTTAATTATACCGCCAGCACTTCCTTAAATAAAAAGAGTAGTTGTACATTTCCTATATGGTTGCAAGTTTTAAGGCATAAATTTCTCATAAATATTTTGACGTAGTCAGTCTCGTCTTCAAACAAATTACAATAACCAACAACTCGTAGGTATAAAACGTAAAACAATGTAAATATGCAAAATAAGAAAAAAAAAATTAAAAAATTATAAACGCCCCTTAGTTAAGTATTCATTATAGTTACAAAAAAAAAAAAAAAAAATAATAAAAATTAAATAATATTCTTACATTCATATAAGGTTGCATTTATTTATTGAGGTCTACATACATACATCATATTTGTACTACTTGTAGTATTTATGTACATTTACATGGTATCTATGTATATCTTTTTTGTTGTGTTAGTTTATTTTTAAAAATATGGTATTTTGTTTTTAGTTTTTTTTAGTCTTTTTGCTAAATATTTATACATTGCTTTTTTGTAATTCATGAACTGATTACCATGCGTAGGTGATTTTTTGAAAAGTAGTTTAAATTTCAACTTTATGAACTACTCACGTTACAAGCATATAATTTTGCACATGCGTATGAATCCAGTCTTAACAAAGACTTTTGGCTAAAAAATTAATCACTTTTTGTACCAACACAGACAGATAGCTTTATGTGGGGTATATCTTTGTTAAATTTTTTGCACATACACACACTCAGACCTTTAAACGAATTGGGTAACAAAAAAATGGCGTTTAAAAAAAAACTAATTAACCAAGTATGGTTCCCTTTTTCGAAACTTTGGTAAATTAATTAAAGTTGAATAACATTTCCTGTGTAAGGTGTGTAGATTGGAGTAATACAAAATAATTGTGAGAGGAAATTACAACTTTATACTGTAGACCGATTCTCTCCGCACAATTTTTAACATACTTTTAATTTTAGTTTTCAAAGAAGAATCTGTTCTACGAAGATTCTGAAAATGGATTATTTTGAAAAAATTTTGTTAAAGCGGTATTCATTTTGTCAATGTATAAAATGTAAAATATCGAATTACCTTTCCAAAGGCATCAGCTACTTGTTGAAAAAATATATGGGCATTTCATGTCAAGTGACCCAACTCAAAAAATTGATTTTGATGAAATTACACCAAGGTTAGTACACAAATTTCAGCTCTATCGGTTAAGAACTGCCGAAGTTAGAGGGAGTCAAAGTTGGACTTTTTGGTCAGGTTTTTTAAAAACTCAATTTTTTTTTATTTTTTTATTTTTGATCAAATGAAAGCTTAGACAATTTCCGTTAATGGCTTTATAGTCCCAGAATGGAATGCGAGTGTGATATTTATCAAAAAAAAAAAAAATTTTTTTAACTTAGGAATCAAATTTTTTTCAATACTTGGCTCTTAATTTTTTCAAAATGGAAATTTTTGTTGTATTTTTTTTACTTAATAGAAAGCTTACACCATTTCCTTTAAGAAATAAAAATTAAAAATTTTTTTTTTTAAACAATGAAATTATCTATCTTATCTCCTTTGGGCAACTTTTGCTAGGACCAATAGGTGAAAAGTTACACTCATTTGAATGAGTGAACTAACTCCGGCAGTTCATAACCGATAGAGCTGAAAAAGTCTGGCGTACTACTTAATAGTACTAACCTTGTTTCAAATTTCATCCAAATCGGAAGATTTTAAAAGTTTTTTAGTCAAACATA